CACACACACACACACACACACACACACACACACACACACACACACACAAAGACAGCTTTGCACCGACTTTTTGTGAATAAAATCAAGATTTAACTCTTGATGGGGTCAAATGTAAACTATGTTTTTGATCCGAGATGGAAAGTGAAACATAAAACTGACCACAGAGCAGCTTGTCTCTCTCAGAACAAACCCATTGTGGTGCGGTCTTTGCTCATAGAAACAATATGAAAACAGCCCAGCTCCCGCCCCCTATAAAGGGATTTTTTTATTAGAGCTGAATGTCTGCAGTCCCCTCGCTTCAGCCAATTCATGACTTCCATCTGTCCTTACTCTCAAAAGATGCCGGCAGGTGGAAGGGGAGGACAACGGATTTGCATTTTCGGGCCATTTACTTGAATTTTACAGACTCTGTGGGTCAGTTGTGTAAAATCTTTACATATGTTGTAAAAGAGTATATTAGAAACACTAAGTTGTGAACTCCACCTGGGAGCTATACGTCAATAAAACAGTTCAAGATTGCATATGTATGTACGTATTTGTTTAACTATTATTTTGAATCATAAATATTCAATTAAACAATAAAGTTGCAGGTGATTGTAGTTTGGTGGAGAAAGAGCACACTTTTAACAAAATGAGTTTTTTTTAAAAGGCAATGAAATTATCCTCTATGTGGTTTACTTCTCAATTTTAGTAACTTTGTCCTTTCTGTTTCTAGTAAATCTCCATCCCAGAAAACCTTCGATGTTCCTTTACTCCTCTCAGCTGGTTGGATGTGGAAGTCTCTCCGGAGCTCTTCTCTACTGTAATCACAAGATATCCTGTGACCTCTCTTTGCTCTGAAACCCCAGAGCTGCGCTCAGGCTTTCTGCTGGAAGGTGATTGAGCATGGCACCCTGCTCCAGCCCTGTCCTGCTTTGTCTGGGGACGTGTGCCTGTGTCAAGAACCACAATTAGTGGGGCGCGTCCCCTATCATTAATCACAGAACAGCCCTGGATCTCAGTATCCCACAGGCACACTCACTGTCAGCTTCCTCAGCATCAGCACCCGCACATCAGCAGCATCTTCACATATGACATACATGTAGTTTTGAACATTTGCCTCTCTCATGCTTCTAAGAAAGTTAACTTCTCTTTTACAACTTAACTAATTCTTGACATTTTGGGATGCAACCATTTCAATTGATTATCAGTAACTTACAAATGTTTCTTTACGTAATATCACTGTTGAAAATGTCATCAAACAAACCTTTGATTTAACCTCTTTTTTTGCACCACACAGGCTTTACCGGAATGCCATGAAAATGATACCCACACTTTGCAGGATGCACTGCAGACAGCGGGCAAATACAAACCTGACCTCTTGAGAGGGAAGAAAAAAAAAACCTCACATCGTAAGTTCCCTTTTCACCCACAGTATGCAGATCGATACTATAGCAGGATGTTAAATATTTGTCATCAGACAATCACACATTGATGGAACAAATCAATGTCTGATAGGAAGGGGCAGACACAAGGCGGTGCATGCTTACCCAGCTCCTGAGGGATTGAGAGAAACAAATAACGGAGAGATAAGGGAGATGAAAATTTGTGGCGATAAGGTGCTGAGACCTTTTCTTTGAGGTATTTTATGGTTTTCTTCTCTTTCTTTCTCTCTCTTTATGGTGGATATGAGGGCATGAAAGTGTGTAAGAGCTAATAATGTGAGATTCTTTTTGCAATTTATTTGTGGTCATGTAATGTTTGTTTGTCTGCCGTACTTTACTCTTATATAGCAGACACATTACACTTGAATAAATGCACCCCTTTTCTGACAGTCTTAACGCATAATGACTTTTTTTGCCCAGTCTTTTTCTGTCTTTTGCCTTTTTTTTGCCTTTTTTGCTCTGTCTTCTCCTTGTTTTGTATTTATAAACAGAGGAATGAAAAGCAGCCAGATGGTAGCTCAGGACTAATATAAAATCAATAAGCTGCCTTCAAGAGAAAGGGATTGGGAGGGGGGAAGAGAAGAGTTGCTTAAAAAAAAGAACATTCAAACACCACAAATGCCAAAATAGACATCTTTGGTCCTTGCCTTTTCTTTTTACCCACTCTTGTGTTTGAAATTTCCCTCTTTCTTTCTCAAACCGCCTTTTTTCTTCTGTATTATGAATACTCACACACAAACGGAGTCAATGTGCTTTAACCACCCTTTTAAGTTTTGAGCAGACCCTGGCTGCTGAACTTACTGCCTCACAGGGCACCTCAGGGAGCTGGCTATTTGTCCTATTCATATCCTATATGTACGTATGTGATGCTGCGAGTACACAAGAATGTCAGGACATCTCTCTGGGCTGCAAATTGAGAGAGGAGGAAGAGGAGGAGGAGGAGGAGGAGGAGGGCAAGATAGAGATAGCCTTAAAGAGGGAAAAGACTAAGGGCAATTGAGAAGTCATTAAGGTAATGATAATTGGCGTAGTGAATAAGCAAAAAGACAAAAGAGAGTATTTGTGTGTGTGTGTGTGCGTGTCCCCTTGTTTTTCTTACATTGTGGGGCCCAGTTTTAAGGAAAACGCAGCCTCATGGGGTCCGGGACCCAAAGCCTGGGCCCCACAACTTCAGAGGCTGATTTTGAGTGTGAGGGTTGGGTTTAGGACCAAGGTGTGAATTGAGTTTAGGTTAGTTTTAGGGTCAGGAAGGTACCTGTGAGGTTAGCCTTAGGGTTTGTGGTCAGGGTTAGGCTATAAAATTACCAAAAAATGAATGGAAGTCAATGGACGGGCCCCACAAGGATATAAAAACAAGTTTGTGTGTGTGTATGTGTGTCTGGGCAGCTCCACTCAGTGTAAAAAGAGCAGCAAAGATTGTCCCCTTGTGACTGGGTCTGCTTGCTGGGTGACTGATAGCCCAGGGAGTGAGGGGACACCAGGCTGTTTAGCTGATAATTAAGGGGGTTTTATCTTAATTTGAGCTGTTACTCTCTATCCTCTCCTGTGATTTATGAGTTGTTGGCCAGCCCTGCTGCCCCGCTCTGCCCCTTAGCATTGGGAACAAGACAAAAGAACCTCTTTTGTCCAAGCACACGTCTCTCACATTCACAGCTTTCTAATGAACAAGAAAAAAATGAAGTTTTGACATAAAAGCTGATAAATCCCAGTGAGTGAATTTGCATCTCTGATTTTAAAATAGTGCACATGATACAACACAATACAGTACAATACAATAAAATGCAACACAGTACAATAAAGATCTAGAGCTTTGACATATGACTAAAAAATCCCAGAGAGTGTATTTGCATCTGAATTGTGAAAATAGTCCATATGATTCGATAAAATATAGGATTTGATGTACGCTAATGTCCATTTAGGGAAATAAGTTTAAAGTGCAACATATTAGCATTTATCTGCCCTCAGAACTACAGCAAGTCTCTCTTATGGGCTTTGTTCTCGGCAGCGGGAGTTTGGTGAAAATGAATCATAGGAGAAAAGAGGCTGATGCTTTAACCTCTCGCCAGCTGGCCCAGGGAACACAGAGCAGCGTGAGGATTGAGTTCCTGCGCCGAGCAGTGACCGCAGGCAAGAGTTAACTCGATCTTCAGCCGGGTGGGGTGCAAGTGAAGAGGAGGCAGGGTGCGGGGGAG